GCCGCCCGCCCGAGCTCGAGAATGCCCGTGGACGAACTGCGGGCCTGGCTTTGGCTGCCCGAGCCTGCCTGAAAAAAAAATATTTTTTATATTTTTAAATTTTTATAATTATTAAGTTATTTTGTGTTAAAATTATATAAAAACTAAAATCAACATTCAACACACATTATTAACACAATTTAATAAATTAATTTTGTATATTAATTTTTAAATTCGTAATTCGTGATTGTCTCGTTAAAAACCTTACCAAGAAAAACCCAATTGAGATAAAAACTTGATAAGAAAAAAAAGAGTACAATCATTTTTGTGACGAATTATAAATTTTATAAATTTACAAAGTCTAAATATACAATTACAATGTCGAAAGTAAATACATATTTACAAATAACATTTTAATTTGAAACTGAAGGATCGTCTTCAAAATTAAATGTTAATCTATTAAATTCATCGATCTATTCTTGACTTGCCAGTGAAATTATACAATCTTAATCCTTAATGTATACCAAGGTTTTAACAATGTCCCTTTACAATTCCTCAAGCATTCGTCCGGTCGTACTGAAAATTTATTCAGATGAAATAATGAAGACTGAGATCAAAAAATTCAAGTCTCAGGCTGACCCGCCGGCCTAAAGTTCTAACGCAAATCGCGAAGACGGTTTAGTTAGTAGTTGATTCTTAATTTTCTGGAGATGGCTGGTGGGAACCCAAGTATTTATTGGGAAATGGAATTTTTTGTTCAGGGATTCAAAATGTTGGTCCAACGATGGCCGTATTCTCTCTCTCCCTAATTGATGGTTGCTTCCCTTTTGGGTGATGAGAATGTGCGTGGCGTGGGCCAAATTATATGCATTTGCAGGCTAAGCCATAAATTCTTTCCTTTGAGGAAAGAGAGAGGAGAAATATTCTCATAGATGGTGGACTTCTGAACGAGACTTGTTGACCTTTCTACGGACATAAAATTTTACAGGTTTTCTTAGCTGTGAGTGCAAGTGGGAGTCTTTGCTTTAATTAATTGGTTAAGCGTACTAAGGGTTATTCTTTTACATTTTTTAGTTAGGGTAACTTAAATGATGATCTTAAGTTGAGTTTGAGTTATAATTTGAATTAAAGTTGTAACTTAAGTTTGTGTTTAGATGTACACATTTGAGTTATAATTTGAATTGAGAATCTATTTGAGATTGTGTTTGAGTATATCAAAATTTAAATTTATATTTAGATAGTATTTTAATAAAAACTCAATGGTGATGAAAAATTTTAATAGGGTATATGGGTGAGATTTTATTCGTCTTTTCGTTGTGAATGCATAGAAAAAAAAATCATCTCAATCAGAATTAAAACGAAAAAGTTATGGCATTTTTAAAAATAGAAAAAATAATGTTCATTAACTTGAGTTCGAGTTTATGAACTCGAGTTGAAGAGAAAATTTAAACTTGAGTTTAGCCTCAAACTCGAATTCAAACTCAAATTTTACAAAAGAATATGAACTTAAATAAAGTTGTAACTCGAGTTCAAACTTTTTCTGAGTTTCGTTACAAAAGAACAACCCTTAAGCTATAATACACATACATACATAGACATATATAAATCACACACATATAATATGCTTATAACCAATATATTACATCTAGCAAAAGTGAAAACAAATCATAACAATAAGATTAATTAGCTTAATTAGGCAGTTCGTGAATCCTGGTTAGCTCTTGGAGTGAATTTATCAACATTAAGGTACCTCTAATTTTTTGTGGTTTTTTCCCTTGGAGGCACCAGAAGCATATTTGAAGAAAGCATCCTGACACTCAAGTTGGGCAAAAGTTGTAGGAAGTGAAGATCAATAACAGAGTATTGGTATTAGAGCGAATAGAAAATGTGGAACTAATTGTTTTGTTTATAAATGATAAGTGATCAATCAGAAGAGTTTTTTGGTCCATTCTGAGTGATATACACATCGGTTAGTTAGGATTCTGGGAATTACCATATTAGAAATGAGAGCATCGTTCACTTCGCGGATTTGAGTTTTCAATTCGAACAGAGATGTGACATTTTCTGAGAGCTTTTCACTGTAGTAGAAAAAGTTAGATGTGACATTTTCTGAGAGTTTTTTACTGTAGAAATCTAAAACTGAAAACTCGAATCGGTAAAATGAACGAGACTAGATGATTCTTTTACTTTCTTTTAGAATATTGGCATGTGACACTTTTTGAATGGATTACATAAGGTCGGACTTTGAGCTAATAATTACTTTGAGTTGTATCTCGAGTTCCTGATCTTGATCCTATGATGAGAATTTAAGTAGACGTGCTTTTGGTCTCCTATTGCGAAGTTCAAGGTCAACATAGAGATTTATTCTAAACGGCATCATCTTGATAGTACCTTCAAAAAATCGGTCTTGATATGTTGATCTCAGAGTACTCTGTTAATTTTGCTATTTGGTTTCAAGGTTCAATCTCCGAGCATCGAGAGGACATGTGTAGCACACTCTCTCGTTCCAATTGGGGGAAAGATCCCACCATTAGCTTTATAAAGTAATGTTTGCAAGACACCAATGCCATGTTTAGTAGTTTATATTGTATATAAGGTGTATTGTGTTGTATTGTCATAATACAATACGGTTTTAGTGTCATGATGTATTGTATAAGGGGTAAAAATGTAAAATTTTAATAATTTTGGGTCAAATGTAATTTTTGAAAAGTTTTGGGGTTGAAATATAACTTTTCAAAAGTTTTGAGATCAAAATAAAATTTAATAAAAATTTTGGGGTCAAAGTGTAATTTTGAAAAGTTTTAAGGTCAAAATGTAATTTTGTAAACGTTTTAGGGTCAAAATATAATTTTTTTTTAAATAAATTTGCATTGTGCTCCTCAAATTTTCAACATTTATAGGTACCCACATGAATCATTGATTCACTATAAAATAATATAATATAATACGTTAAAAATGAGTTATATTCATAATATGACATAAATTGTATTAATTTACTATTTATATTAGTTTATACAATATAATAACCATACTAAACATTATATTATTGTCTTATTATATAATATGGTGTTCTAATACGATCACACAAACATGCTCTAAATGCTCGGAAGAAAAAAAAGAAGATTTAGCGTGCGTCATAAGATGACGTTTAAAAAACTGTTATTGTATGTCTTTGACTTACAATATGATTCCAAATTTGACAACGGTTTTTAAACTGTTATCATATGTTTTAACAACGGCAGTTGTCGCATCTCTTTTTGTGCTAGCAATCGGTACAGTAAAGGAAAAAAAAGTCCGGATCTTTGATATCAAAGAAAATTAGTGCCGTATGAGACGTAATTGAAGAGCATAGTATTCATATATATAATGCATAATATGAAGAGAAGAGTTTTCTTGTGTGTTTTTGAGTGGCACCTGATCACATTGAGCGCGTTTGGAAGTCATTTAAAAATAATTTTATTTTTTGTATGAAAATGAAAATAAAAACGTTTTTAAACTCAGACATAAATCATTTTTAAAAATGCGTTTAATAGTTTTATCAAGAGATTATTTTCAGTATAAAAAAATCAATTAATGTCTCTATCTCATTCTCTCTGCTCGAGAGAGGAGAAAACGAAAATAAAAAATGAAAAACGACTAAAAGTCGTTTTTCATTTCTCTCTCATTTTACACTAAACCAAAAAATCATTTTCATTTCCGTTTTTTGTCTTTATTGCACCAAACGCCGTTTTGAAAACGTTTTCATTTTTTCTTTCTTAAAAAACGTGAAAAATAAAAACAGAATCAATTCCAAACACGGCCGTTATCCTTTTCTCTCTCACTCTCATGCGCAGTATATATTACATACATTAGTGTCTTAAATTAGATTAATTAAAATACTGGTTGAATTAGGTCCAAGTTAAATTAGTTAGTAAAGAAATTTAATTTCAACTTGCCTTGGGAGGTTCCACGGATAAGAAATCGAACAAAATATTAAAAGTTGGTTTATTCCACCGTGATATCCAGTACAGAGGACAAAATGCGTATAGCTGAACTGCATAACATTATTACCGTAATAAACCATTACACGGCGACGGATGGCCAGCTGGTGTGTCATGTAGACAAACAAACCAGTCAACTACCCCTTGTGTCTTTGTGGTTAGTTTGGACCCTTTAATACTCACAAGAAAGGCAACACAGCGCAACGCACTCTTGTCACACGCATATTCATCTATATCATACCATGACTATCAATTTAATAGTAAACTAACACATTTTTCCAAGAGAAAAATGACATCAAGAAAGACGAAAATTCTGTAACAAGTATAAGAAAAAAAGAACTAAACTAAAAGGATATAGTTTTTAACTGTGAGATGATACCCTAGTTATAAATTTAATGAAAATTTATTAAAAAAAATCAAAAAAATTGAAAACTGTTGTTGGCCGTGTTTAGAATTGATCCTGTTTTTATTTTTCACATTTTTTGAGAAAAAAATAAAAACGTTTTCAAAACGGCGTTTGGTGCAATAAAGATAAAAAACAGAAATGAAAATGATTTTTTGGTTTAGTGTAAAATGAGAGACAAATGAAAAATGACTTTTAGTCATTTTTTATTTTTTGTTTTCATTTTCTCTTTTCTCGAGCAGAGAGAATGAGATAGAGACATTAATTAGTTTTTTTACACTGAAAATAATCTCTTGATAAAACTACCAAACGCATTTTTAAAAATAATTTATGTCTGAGATTAAAAATATTTTCATATAAAAAATAAAATTATTTTATAACGAGTTCTAAACGCGTCCATTATATTGATGATAAGATCCATTTTTCCATACAACACTACACTAGAAAGCAGCTCTATAGAAGTGAGCTGAAAAATGAGACTACCCACTTACATTGAATGGAGAATTTAAGGCAGTTAAAAGCTTCCCAACTAGATCCTCATCGGTTTGGTGTCAGCATTAACTAACTATCTCCCAACCACCACTTTATTTTTCCTCACCATATAAAAACCACTTCACCACTTCACCACTTCACAACCCCCTTGCCCCTTCTTCCTCTTCTCATCAAACCCAGTCAATTATACACTAATACAAATACCCAAAAAAAAAAAAAAAAAAACGCTGATATCATTAATCATATCATTGTTATCAAACAAGTGCGTACAACATGGCAAATGAAAGAGATCTGTTATCGACAGAGATTGTGAACCGTGGGATCGAGTCGTCGGGGCCCAATGCCGGCTCTCCGACGTTCTCCGTCAGGGTGCGGCGGCGGCTGCCGGACTTTCTCCAGTCGGTGAACCTCAAGTACGTGAAACTGGGTTACCACTATCTGATCAACCACGCCATATACTTGGCCACCATTCCTGTTCTGGTTCTGGTTTTCAGCGCGGAAGTTGGGAGTCTCAGCAAAGAGGAGTTGTGGAAGAAGCTCTGGGAAGACACTCGCTATGATCTCGCCACGGTGCTTGGTTTCTTTGGTGTTTTTGTCTTCGCTTTGTCTGTTTACTTCATGTCCCGTCCTCGCTCAATCTACCTCGTTGATTTTGCGAGTTTTCGGCCTAAGGATGATTTCAAGGTAATCTAATATAATATGTATATTATAAAGATGTAATTATAGGCATATATATATATATATATGTGTGTGTGTGTTTTGACAGGCGTAATAATTGTGCGTAGAAAATAATGGAATGTAGATATTGTGAAAAAAAAAACGTGTTTTTAGGGGGAAATTAGAAACTATTTGTTGTCTAGATTGACAAATTTCACGAATTAAACCCCTTTTTTTTTTCTTTACTTTGGGAAGATTAGATCGAATTATTAAGTTCTCTTGAATCAAGTACTTGTGCGAATTTATCTTCTTGCTGCTTGAAATTGGAAGCCCTTTTTGTCTTCTACCTCTATAAAAAAATAGCTAATTCTTTATATTACTCTCTATTCTTCTTTGTTCTCCCCTTTGAAAATTTTGCAAATTCTTTTGACAAATCCTGATCACGACGTATGCATAATCTGAGCCTTCGATAATAAAATAGTTTTAACAAGGTTTAAGAAAAAAATTTTGTTAAGAAAGAGAAATAAGAACAAATTAGAGTGAAGAGAAAGAGCTCAAGCCGATCAAAAGGGAAAAAACAGGGGACGCTGTACGCATAACAGAATTTCATTATAAGCTAGTCGAAACTAAGCAATATAGATCTTAACTTGATATATTCGGTTGATTTTGATTATTAAAATCGTGTTTGATTCGTTTTGTTCATATTTTTTTTCTGGCTTATATCATATACCAAGTGAACAAAAAGAAAAAGAAAAGAAAAGAAAAGCGACAGCGTGTTTGGTTGCAAATAAATTAAAGGAAAAAAATTAATCAATTTCTTAATTTCATCTCCTAATTAAGCCAATAATCCCTATTAGTCTACTTCTTTGGCTTCAAAATTCAGGACTACATGTATAGTGATGTGCGTGACATTCATTTCACTTGTTAATTACTCATAAATATCAAGATCGTGCAAATTATTATATAATTAACCAAAAAAAATCCTGCACACACAAACCGCCATGCAGGTGACCAAGGATGAGTTCATAGAGCTAGCAAGAAAGTCAGGCAAGTTCGACGAGGCAAGCCTAGAATTCCAGATGCGGATCCTCCACTCGTCGGGCATAGGCGATGAGACCTACGTCCCTCGGTCGGTAATTGCCTCCGGCGAGAACACGGCCACCATGAAGGAGGGCCGCGCCGAGGCCTCGGCAGTGATGTTCGGGGCGCTGGACGAGCTCTTCGAGAAGACTCGTCTGCGGCCCAAGGACGTCGGTATCCTGGTCGTCAACTGCAGCATCTTCAACCCCACGCCGTCCCTCTCAGCCATGATCATCAACCACTACAAGATGAGGGGCAACATCCTCAGCTACAACCTCGGCGGCATGGGCTGCAGCGCCGGTGTCATCGCCGTCGAACTCGCAAGGGACATGCTGCAGGCAAACCCTAATAACTATGCCGTCGTGGTCAGCACCGAGATGGTGGGCTACAATTGGTACTCCGGCAAGGACAGGTCCATGCTGATCCCTAATTGTTTCTTTCGCATGGGCTGCTCCGCCGTGCTTCTCTCCAACCGCCGCCGTGACTACCGCCACGCCAAGTACCGCCTCGAGCACATTGTTCGCACGCACAAAGGTGCTGACGATCGGAGCTTCAGGTAATTAAATTTTTTTTTTTTTGGTCATGATCTTTAGCTTTCATACTTTAATTCTGATTAATAGTGATATTAGGACTTTTCATTGACTAAAATGGACCCTTTTTTGTTATAAATTATAGGGACACAAAACTAGTATAAATTTAGTATTTTTTGTTCCAATATTAGTTGTTTCTTACTAGCCCGGGTTAGTGAATAGGTCAAGTACCAGGCAATGGAACTTAATAAACTAATAAAGATCTCGTTCATTTCACATATTCGAGTTTTGTTATAGTAAAAAGTTCTCAGAAACAATCATATCTATTTTTTTTATTACAGTAAAAAACTCACATAAAGTCACATCTCAATTCAAATTAAAAACTCAAATCAAGAAACTAAACGGGCCCAAAATCTAAGCTCCTAGGTTCGAACCTGGACCTAGTAAAAACTTGTGTGTGTGAGACCAAAGGGGACATTCAAGCAAAAAAAAAAAAACAAAAAAAAAAGTTTATTGAATAAATTTCTATAAAAAATTCAGGGACTATATATGACTGAACTTTGGATTTCTAAAGTCGGAACTAAATTAGATGAGATTTTTTTTTTCTTGGTTGGAACGTAAGAATGAAAAGCTCATAAGTTGGGACTTATTAGTTGTTATCACTACTATAATCTTATGCGTTTAGTTAATATATTTATATCATAATTTAAATTATAATTCATAATTTATTATAATATTTTTTTTCATAAAAAATACACATAATTTAGCGCGTGTCATCAATTTGGTTGGCCGTTGGCGGATCTAAAATATAGGTCCAACTATATCGACAGTACACAAGAGGGGACTGTTGATAACTTTGTAAACAAAACCGCACTCCGTCTCTGCTTGTTTTTGTATGATCTGAATCAAAATTTATAAGTTATTTAGTTAGGAAATTCGTATCTCAATTTAAATTATTATTCATAATTTATTACAGTATTTTTTCTCATAAAAAATACACATAAATTAAAAATTATTTTAATATAATAATTTTAATTTATGAACTAAATATTTTTTTAATTTATCATTTGATAGATGAAAATATAAATAAATAACGCTTTTAAACCTCTTCTAATTATTGCGATTTTTTTTTTTTAGGGTCATAGTTGTTGAGATTCGGACCGCTCATAAATGCCAAAAATATCGAACCTTTGATTTATTGTTTCCTACGTGTATATATGTAAAGGATCACATGCATGAAGTATGAACATGGCTTGAACTTAATTGGCCAAGTCCTTGAAAGGAGTACGGGTCTCTCCTTATCTCTACATTTTATCAATTTAAATTTATAATTTTATTATAATAAAAAAAATTTTAAAAAAATTATATTTAATTTTTTTATTATAATTAAAAATTTTCATATAAAATTATATAACAACTTAAATTAAAAATTTAAATTAACGAATTAAATAACCTGTTCATATATCTACAAACTAACTGTTCACTATCAACAAACATCGTACGGATAATAATATATCTACAAACTAACTGTTCACTATCAACAAACATCGTACGGATAATAAGTGCATGTCTCACCAGAAAAGAAGTGCATTTAAAACATATTTGAAAATGTGCAACATTTGTGATATTGATTTTTTTTTTCCTTTCTGATTTGACTTTGATCTTGATCAACATAGGTGCGTCTACCAAGAGGAAGACGAGCAAGGTCTAAAGGGTCTAAAAGTAAGCAAAGATGTGGTGGAAATCGGAGGCGATGCTTTAAAAACAAACATCACCACGCTAGGTCCCCTGGTCTTGCCCTTATCGGAGCAGCTCCTCTTCTTCGCCACGCTGGTATGGACCCACCTCTTAGGCGGAAGAGTCGTCGGAGCGAAGGGCTCATCCCAGCCGTCGCTTTCCCCGGCCACCAAGAAGCCGTACATCCCTGACTACAAGCTGGCCTTCGAGCACTTCTGCGTCCACGCGGCCAGCAAGCGCGTGCTGGACGAGCTCCAGAGGAACCTCGGCCTCAGCGAACGCCACGTGGAAGCTTCTAGAATGACACTCCACCGGTTTGGCAACACCTCGAGCAGCAGCATTTGGTACGAGCTGGCGTACCTGGAGGCCAAGGAGAGAGTCAAGAGAGGGGATCGGGTTTGGCAGTTGTCGTTTGGCTCGGGATTCAAGTGCAACAGTGTCGTTTGGAGGTCCTTACGACGTGTCAGGAAGCCTTCTGGAAATAATCCCTGGCTCGATTGCATTGATAGCTACCCAGTCAGTCTCTAAAGTAATCTAGCTACCTCGTCGCAATTTCCCATCAAAAAGATGGATTGATCATCGCTAATTATTTGCTTGATTTTGAAAAATAATTGTGGATTATAATTACTTATATTGTAATCTGTATCTGCTTTCTTTGATATATATTGGAACATGTTAAAAGAGGATTTACCATATATAAATATATATATGCAGCAATTTGTCTTTTTTTTTTTGTCCAATCTTTCTTGTGCTAGACTGCTAGCTAGACATTTCTTTTTGGTTAATGTAAAGTGGGTAACGATATTATAATGGAGTTGTGGTCCATTTGAAAAGAAAAATAATTTAAAAAAAAAAAAAAAAACAGTTGCAGTATTCCATTCGTCTCTATCGACCTGTTAAGTCATGATCTGTCATTATGGTTGTACTCACGGCCGCAAAATTCGCTAAAGACTTTGATGAGTGCGAAAAATACTTTTTTTTTTTTTTATTTTATGAAAGAGCTTTCAAGTGTGAAAAATACGTGTGCATTTTCATTTTATTTTTTGTAGATCAAAACAATGCCCGTTAAGAATTCGTTTAGTTCCCTGATTTAAATTTTTAATTAGAATTTATATGTAATTTTATGTGAAAATTTTTATTATAACAAAAAAATTAAATATGACTATTTTTAAGAATTTTTTATTACAATAAAATTCAAATTCTAAACTAAATGAACCAAACTTAACTTTACTATATATATATATATCCTCAATTTGAACTAAATTCAAAATAAACCTACCCAAGTTATCAACTTCAATTTTTTTTATTACAAAAAAAGGATCTTTTTTGTTTCGAAAATTTCATAATATATATAACATAAGTCATTACTCACTAGTAGTCTTCCCACTAAAGCCGTATGAGGGTTGTGGGAATTGTTACCTTATGTTATGAACAAAAAATAGTTGTATGTAGTAGTTGGCGTAAAATCCCGATCGCCTTCACTATAGGTAGGAAAAGATCTTATGAGTATACAATATGAGAGTAATCCGTTTTTAACATATTACTAAATTTAAAAAGAGTTACAATGTGTTTTTCTATAGAGTGTTTGAGAGAGAGTGAGAATGTCCTTGGAGAGTAGAGGCTGGTCGGAGCTCTGACACTGTCTTTGGGCTCGTCGTCGGACTCCCAGCCATAAAATTTGATCTTCCGGCTCATTTCGTCATGGACTTTTTATTAGTAGTGGTGGTGTACAATGTGGTGGCTCCATTTAAGTAGATCTAAACCGATTAGGAGTTTAGAAGCTGATTAAACGGTCTCCTTTCTTAGTGGAGTTTTCCGTTTGGTGGTTGAGATCTCTTCGCTAGCTATCTTTCTCAATGGTCATTTGCCTGGACACCCTTCACCGGAGGTTTCTACCGGCATTGGTCGAAAGTTTTTATTTTTATTTTTTATTTTTGTAACTCTTGTGTTTGTAATAAGGTTGGTGGCTTCCTCACCCGACTCTCGTCTGATTTATTATTTTTTGTCAAATTTAGGTGTTCAGTTTAATGCCGATAGGGTGATCTTAGTGCGGTTAAAATTTTTTTTATGCCGTGTAGATATCCTCATTCTATGGGTTTTAATGATCTGCCCTTCCAGGGTTTTAACAACTTATGTTAAATAGATGGGTTTTTTCTAGTCAAGTTTTCGGTCCGCTCGTTGTGTGTGTGCCGAGGTGTTTTCTCAGTTTCAAATCTCTGCATCTATCCTTTTAATGGATTAATATTATAGACGATGACTGTTTATCAGATATCTAATTTTCCTTTAAAAAAAAGAGTTGGATAACATATGATTTAATTTCCAAATTCTTAACGTAATTAACGACATTTGACAAACGCATGATATTCGGCTCCGAGAGAAGCAATTCGGCTTCAACTCCGCATCATTTGTAAAGCTCCACGTGTATATAAAATAGGGTTGCAACATTTCTTAAATAAAAGTGGGACCCACATTAATGTAAGTGTGAGAGAACCAATCTTTCCCTCTCTCCACTATTTCCCACGCGCTCAGTGTTTTTAAAAAGCTAAGTCATGATTTAAGTTATATTATTACATTATTTTAAAATTTAAAACTAATTTTTTTACTATAATATTATACATAACTCAAATTACAATTTAAGTTGCGTAAATAAATATACTCTAAATTTGCAAAACATTACTCACTGGGGACACTGCGTTTCACTTTAAGGTTGAGAAACAAGGCCTTCGCGTAAAAAATATAAATACATATATATGTTTTTTTTTTTTTTTTTTTTTTAAATTTTGGGGGCTTTCCCATATTTTTCAACAAAATACATATATATGTTTTTTTTTTTTTTTTTTTTTTCAAATTTAGGAGGCTATCCAATATTTTGCAACAAGTTTATAGTTTTGAGCAGTTTTCTTTTAATTGAGTACTACATGAATGGTTTATATAACCCTTTTTAATATATTATTCGTGGATTACGAGTCAGTTTGGTATTACTATGCTGTTAAAAATTTCTACTATTATTATGTCGTTAGTCAGAAATTACTGTGACCAGAAACATGTAAGTGTTTGGTAAATTTTTTTTTTCAACGTTGCTTTGAATACCATAAGTTGAAATTTAAGTGTTTAGTAAACTATGTATAAAATTATTGTGAAGCTATATAATGACTAAAATAGACATACTTTAACCCACATACTTATAATTAGTTTTATTTCTATTTTTATAGTCAATATTCATAATATTTATACATCAAAATACTAAAAAAAATATAATTTTCATTTTATTAATTAAAATATCTTTAAAAATAAATTAGATTTATTTAAGGAGATAAATTATATATCTATAAAGAAATTAAATAACGTAAAGAACTGAAGGTAAATTATTTTTCAAACTTACAACATTATAATAAAAATATATTATTAAAATTTAGCATAAGATATTTACTAAAGATTTTTAATTTTCAAATAAACATTTAAAATAAAATATATTATTTAATTTGATTTGGAAGAAATAAAATGAGTTGATTGAGAATTTAGTTTTATTATTAATGTCATTTTAGTAAATTTAGACAATGACAGAAGGTGTTGTGGAAAAACAACCTCTGATCTATTTCTCAAATTTTGCTGTGGGGCATCAATTTTTAAAAATTGCTGGACAAAAATAGGTTTTACCAAACACCTTGACCTACTGTAGCTTCTTAAGAAAAGCTAAAAATAACCTCCAAAAACAATGCCAAACGGGCCCATAAATTATAGTAATTTGGGTTTCTTTCTAGTTATATTAAAATTAATCATAATTAGAATATTTATTATAAGAATAGGGTAGTAAAATAATAAATATAAATTGCATAAGTATTTAAAATATGAAAATAAATTGTCAAAATTTAAATTAAATAAGTAAAAATAAGAAATAAAATATATATGTTAAAAATTAAAATAAATTATTAATTTTAATAAATATAACAAAGCACATATTTATCATATTAAAGTTAATAATAGCAAGGCTAATATTATAGTATATTAGATAAATAAAATAATAAATATAGATTATAATTATTATTTTGAAATTTTATTTTGAAATTTATATTTATAAGTAAATTAGGATTAAGATAATAATTTAATGTTAATATTAAAAATTAGAGTCTCAATTTAAAAGGAACATGAGATTGTCAATCTAATTATTTAATTTTAAATTTAAGCGAGATACACTAATTTCACACCAATTTTAAAATAAAAAAGATCAAGTAAATATTGGATTCACTCTAATGGCATGTTTACTTACCAAGAGTAAAGAATGAGAATTGAGAATTAGAATCAATTCCATATATATTTATCCATTTTTATCTTGAAATGAGAGTGAGAATGTGTGGGTCCTGCACCAATTTGGGATTGAGGAATGAGATTGACACTCCCCTCACCCCCCACTGGATCGACATTCCTAATCCTGATAGTAAATGTGAATTGCAATTTTACCCTTAATTCTACTAACAAATTTGTGAATAAAGAGTAAAAAGTAAAAAATTGAAAAAATCTCTCTCTGTGCTCTCAACAGCCAAGCTGCTAATCCTAAAGACATTTCAAGACAAGTTAAAATAATATGTTTTGATCGTAGTTTGTATTTTTAATTTTCTTCTTTGCTTTCATAGTAACTGATGTACACTATGCTCTGTTTTAATTTATTTTATCATTTTCTTGGCTCCCACTGTTCATCTTGTTAATCAGGCATGTTCTTTCTTTCTTTTTATTATTTATTTATGTTTTTAAAAAAATCCACTGTGCATTACTTATATAATTGTCAATTCTCTTTTGTTCTTCTTTTGAAAGTGTTCTACCCACTTGCATTGTGGCTAATTATTACAAATTATTGGTTTCCAGCAATTTAAGGTTATTGAGGATCATACTGATTTTGAAGTGGGAGAGTACTAGGGAGGCAAAGGGGTTGATGAATGGGATGATAAGTCCTGGGAAAAGAAAATAAATCAGCACCATGTAAGTTTTCTTCTTTGTTAATGAAGAAAAATATGCTAAAATGACTATCTAACAAGTAAAATTAGTAAAATAACTTTATTTATATTTTATGAAGAGCTAATCATTCTTTATAAAAAGTAGTCGTTTCTTATCGTTCTGTAGTCATTTTATAAATAAAATTTTTTTAAAAGTTATTTTACTAATAAAATTTTCTTATTGAGTTATTTTTACAAAGGTCTCGTAAATGAGATAGATAATAGCAGCACAAATTTTGGGCACTTTTCATTTTTTCTGTCCTTTTTAGCCCTTTTTTCCTCTCTACTTTTATTCTTGACCGTTAATTTGGTAGTTCTTTCTTTCTACGTTATATTACATGTTCTTGGTTTATTTAGCTTTATTGCTTTCTGTGTCAACAAGTCAAGGCATATATATATATATATATATATACAGTTATATTAGAACATTCTTTTGTTTTTGTTTTATAGGTCCTGGTTATGACTCCCCAAGTTCTTTCGGACGCCTTATGAAGGGCGTTCTTTAATTTAGAAGCAGTAGGCTTAATGGTTATTGATGAATGCCAAAAAGGGCTATCGGCAACCGTCCCTATACGAAAATAATGAAGGTTAATGTTAGTGCATTTTTATATTGGCTTATTTTTAGTAAATTAGTTGTAAAATTGGTTGGCATTGTAAATTAGTAGACCTCTTAAGGAAAGTCTTGTTGTCATGTTTATGGACTACAAATCAAAGGATTTGATTGCTGAAAATGAAAAGTGGACTTTTAG